ATTTTGCCTTTATTCTTCTTCCTTTCAGGTTCAATAGGAACTGATTCTCCATCCCAGGCTTCACTGGCCTGTCCTATAGATTGGCCCCCAGCATTCCTGCAGCTCAGGAGGAAGCCTGCCTCCCTCCCGATATACAAAAATCCTGTCCAGCTCTCACCTCTCTGTATCAAAAATCCCCTGTGAAGTCCAGCAGGAGAACAGCCCAAAAGAGGTTCCGTTTCTGTTTTTATCATCCGTGTTCATAGCAGTTTTCTTCCATTTCTAGGGAGATATAAACCCTTGAAATGCTAATCCTACCACAAAAGGTGGAAAAAGAGGTTTTGATTTTTCTAAAATGCCCTACAGGCTGAAAAGCATCTTTCTAGTGTCACAACTGAGAATTTCTCCTGTGCCTGTTTCACTTTCCCCAGTGTGGCTTCAGTGTTGCCTTGCAGACATTCTCTCTCTCTCTCTCTCTCTCTCTCTCTCTCTCTCTCTCTCTCCCTCCCTCCCTCCCTCCCCTCAATCTCACACTGCCACATCTTCTGCCTATTTCCTCCCTCACTCTGCCCCCAGATGTAAAACAAACTAACAAGAATAAAGGAAAACTAGAGACCATGTGGTTCGATGTCTACCAGCTGCCCATGCCCTCTAGCCCTTCCCTGTGAAAGACTGACTCAGTCTCATCTGAAGCCCCTCACTTTCTCTGCCCAATGATTCCATTTTCTCTCATGAAACAAAGTAGTCTCATGGTTTTCCTTTTCTTTCCCATAGCCTAATTTTCCTGGCTCTGGTCTTTACAACAGTGGACTAGTTAGTGGTCTGCTGTTGTTTCCTCATCTTGGAAAAAAAGTCTCTTGACCCGATCTAGACTCCCTCTAGAACTCTTCTCTTATTTGACCCACCTTTAAGTCGGAACTCTTGGCAAGTGTTATCTTCCCACCTGACCTTCCCACCCTTCTTTAAACGCTCAGTAGTCAGACCTTTAACCTACACACCAAGATTCCTTTTGTTACCATCTCAGTGATATTCATGTCGCCAACCCGAGCTACCTAACTTTTCTTTCTTTTTTTAATTGTTATTTAGGCACACAAGTGTTTTGTCTGCATGTGTATCTGTGCAGTCCACGTGTATCTGGTGCCCTCTGAGGCTCTGGGAGTTATCCATGTGGTTGCTGGGTCTTGAACCCAGGGCCTCTGGTAGAGCAGCCAGTGCTTTCTAATACTGAGCCATCTCTCCAGCTACCAAGTTGTTAGTTTTCAATCTTCATCTTACTTGGCCTGTTAGTAACTGACACGAAGGCCCCTTGAAACACTTTCCTGACTTGGTTTCCAACATAATGTAAAAATCTTGATTTCTTTCCTGGTTTTGTAGCTTCTCCCTGAACTTGGCTTGTTGGTGAGCTTTGGAGGTCAGCTTTGACCTCTTCCTCATGTGCGTCGACTACTGGACTTGAGCAAGAGTTTTGAGGTCAATACCATCCATAGTGGTAAATCAGGTGTTCACTCTTGTACCTTGGCCTCTCTCCTGAAGTTTAGATTTGCATATATCCTACTTTCTGATCAGCACTTCTACGTGACTGTTTAATAGGCATTTCATAGTTAATGAATTTTGGATCATCCTGTCTGCCACTAAACTCATTTTGCACTCTTCACTGTCAGAGCCTCAGCTTTTCTCCATTTCTCCTTTCCTGTGTGATCCGCCCTTCTTTCTACCTCACTCCTGACCCATTTGAATCGATAATCATCATCTCTTAGTCTGGCAGTAGTCTTTAGCTCACCATACTTCAGATGTATCCTTTTTGCTTGTTTTCTAGTTGATACATAGCATACATTTTAAATCAAACTCATCCAGAGAAGCCGCTCTTATCTGATACTCAGTTCCAATAGGAATGGTCTCACACCATATGCTTCAGTTGATCAGAAAACCTGTTAAACATCCAGCAATGCCATAGTCTCTACTGAGCCCTCTGGGATAATGGTTGAGGCACATCCTTGGTCACTTGCAGACCATGTTACTAAGAGTTGATCAGAAAATCCTCTGAGAGTCTGGAGAGATGGCTAGGCAGCTAAGAGTGATTATGGCTCGTAACTGCATGAAACTCTAGCCCCATGGGATGAGACATCCTCTTCTGGCTCTGCAGGCACTCATACTCAGTACACGTACCCCTACACAGATACAGGCATATATACAAACAATAAAAGGCCTGGGGTGCCACATGAGAAAAACTAGTGGTGAAAGCCAACCCTGAGGTAGAAACACTGAATGTCCTTCAGGCAGTATGCTGAGTGCTTCTGTACAAGACAGTGTTACACAACCATAGAAAAAATTAATATTTACTACATACAACCTGGAGGAACCTTAAAGCTAAGTGAAAGGCCAATCACAAATTGCTTTATACTGTGTGATACAATATATATGAATTGTTTGGAAGGCGCTGGAGAAACAGCTCAGAGTTAAGAGCTCTGCTGCTCTTCCAGAAGACACAGGTTCAATTTCCAGCACCCACATGGCAGCTCACAACCATCTGTAACTCCAGTTCCAGGGGATATGACACCCTCTTTTGGCTTCTGTGGACACCAGGCATGAATGTGATTCATAAACATATATGCAGGTAAAACACCCATACATATAAAATAAAAATAAAACAAAAATTAAAAAAATCTGGGCTCTATAAATCCACAGACATAAGGCAGAGTGTGGGTACCAGGTAATGGGGGAAGAGGCCATTGGAAGTGACTATTGATGGGGTAGATTTCTTTTCTGATTGTGGCAACAGCTGTACAATTTTGAATGTGATAGATGATACTGAATTGTGTACTTGAATGGATGCCTGTATTGTATATGTGCTGGTTATATTATCCACTGTGACACACTGCTAGAGTCAACTGAGAAGGGGGACCCTCAGGTGAGAAAATGTCTCCATGAGTTTGGCCTGTAGGCAAGTCTGTGGGACATTTTCTTGATTAATAATTGGTGTGGTGGGGCCTAACCCACTGTGGGCATTGCTGCCCCTGGGCTGGTGATCTGGATTGTATAAGAGAGCAGGTTGAGCTAGCGAGTAAGGAGCTCTGCAGCTCTCCTCTATGATTCTGCTTCAGTTCCTGCCCTGACTTCCCTACATGATGAGTACAGACTATATCTGTAAGATGAAACAAACCCTTCTCCGAGTTGGTTTTGGAGAGTGTTTTTTTTTTTTTTTTTTTTTTTTTTTTTTTTCCACAGCAACAGAAACCTAACTAGGATAGTATATGACTCACGTCTTAATAACAGAAAACCAAAACAAATCACAGTTACTATGCTGGTGGGAACACAACATCATGGCTGAGACGTGAAGAGAGGATATGGCAGAGACAGGGTTGAAAGGTCAGGTGAAATGACACTGGTTTGGAATGATGGTGGTAAGTGGTGTGGTTGCCCTGGTGTTGTGATATGGGGACATTGGAGGTCAGATAGCCAATGTCAGAACAGTGGTAGAGCCCAGGCAGAGACAAGGCATACGTGAACCATGTAGAAGTTGAATGCTTGAGAACCATGTGAGAAGTGAGAAGGACTGCTGTGTGTGGGAAGCAGAACCATGCATGAGGACATGATTCCCAGAAGTTGTGTGGATAGAAAGAGAACATGCCATAACCCTGAGGTGGCAATAGAGGCAGTGTTAGCAGGAGAAACACGGGCTGAGAAGGTTTAAGTTAAATACAGAAGCTGGATCTTGCTTCATAATTGGAAGAAATGGGCAGTGTCCATGCCTACTACACTGTGTCTGCACCACCGGCCTTCTAGTGTTGCAAAGCAGTATAACATTTGTATTACTTAACTACTATAACCCAGGTCATTCATTATATGTAGTTCATTGTATTTTCTGTGGAGACATATTTTTTCCAATGTAAAGCTGAATAGTGACTATGGAAATTCAAGGTTTTACTGAGATTGCAGAGCGCTTCCAAGTAGTAGAATAAAAAAGACAAAACAAAACAAAAAAAAACACATTATTTTGGAAATGAAACAATTTTCATAAGAGAAATTTTTATGCAGCTCCTTTTAAAATGTAGTGAAAGTAAGGTTTGTCTATCTCAAAGTGCTTCGGATGGCTGTGATGGTGACCAGTAGGCTGAAGAGAGATGTTTTGCTGGCATGGACCAGGCTTTCTAGGATCTGAAGATGTTGAGTATAGAGGAGATAACTTTTAGAAAACCGAAGATGTGCCGGGTGGTGGCGGCGGCACAGGCCCTTAATCCCAACACTCGGGAGGCAGAGGCATTCAAATCTCTGAGTTCGAGGCCTGCCTGGTCTACAGAACTAGTTTCAGGGCAGCCAGGGACACACAGAGAAACCCTGTGTTGAATAAACAACAAAGAAATAAAAAAAGGGGAGGGAACTGGAGAGATGGTTAGTGGTTAAGAGCACCGACTGCTCTTCCAGAAGCCCTGGGTTCAATTCCCAGGACCCACATGGCTGCTCACAGCTGTCTGAACTCCAGTTCCAGAAAACTGAAGAATTTGGATACAGGGCCAGGAAGAGCCTTGAAGCCTTACTCTCATTGGTGTCATGGCCAGTCTTCCCCAACCTTGATGATGGCGATGAGCTGGATGAGTGTAAACATGGAACGCATGAGATAGCAGGCACTGCTCTAAGCAGTTTCTACATATTAATCCTGAAAACAAACCAGGGTGCTATACTGAAGTACAGAGATTTCATGGCCAGGGTGGGAGGTGGAGGTGCTAGGAAAGGAGAGAACACTAAATGTCAAACCCAGCTTTGCCACCATCTGCCAAGGGACCTTGGGAGAGCCTCCATTTGGTTAACAGGTGTGCTGGTTTCAGCAGAAACCTTCATTCTGTTGTGCTGAAGTCAGGGAGCATGTGAACGTACTTTGTGAAAAAAGTCTCTGGATATATATTGCACAGTATAGTGATCAGGTTCCACCACAGTGTTGTGGCTGAGTGTTGTGGCTGAAGCTTGAAAGTGCATTGCTTTCATGGCACTCTAATGTTTCTAATTTCTTGGATTTTTTTTTTCAGGTTACCTGTCTGCAAGACTTTTTTGGTGATGATGATGTTTTTATTGCATGTGGACCTGAAAAATATCGTTATGCCCAAGATGACTTTGTCCTGGATCATAGCGGTGAGGCAATTCATTGGCCATCTTTGTAGCCCTGAAGAGAAGGCTCAATTTAGTGACACCCATGTTGAGAACATAGGTATCCTGGAGAAAGATGACCAACCATGGGTGGTGTCAGCTGTAGTTCCAGCTTCTCAGGAGGCTGAGGCAGAAGAATCACTTGACTCCCAGGAGGACTCTAGGCCAGCCTTGGCAACATAGTGAGACCTTTTCTCTGAAAATAGATATTGAAGCATAATTAGTAAACTGTCCATGGTAATTATCTGAGATCTCTTTTTATATCAGTTTTGTGTGAAGCTTTAAAAAATACAGTGTTTGTATATTTATAAAAATTATTTCATAGGTTGGATGAAAAATGCCCATTTATTGGTTTTTATCTACTAATGTAGTTTTTTACTACTATTTCAATGATTTCAAATGATACTGGTGTAGTAAATGGCTATTAGGTGGCTAAGGTAGACTAGATAATTTAGCCCTGGTTCTACATTCTCCTGACTAACTCTCCGAAACAAATGAAGTTCTCATCTGTGAAGTCAGCCTTGTAGAATGGTCACTGTAGGTGGGGCTAATGATAGCAATAACAGTAAAACATTGTTAAGTTGCCGTATGTGCATAGGCAGGACAACTGTTGCTTTATGTGTAATAAATTTATCAGAGCTAGTGGAATCATTTGTTTCTTGTTGTTGTTGATAATGGCCCTTGATAGCCTCTAATAGATAAGGAAAAACAAAGCACTGTTGATTTTTCCCCCTCTCAATTTCTAGTTATTTAACATCTTTAAAACTGGGAGTGATAATGGATATTTTATAAGATTTTGTGACGGTTAAGTGAATTAATATACGTCTGCAGCTAGCGGAACCCAATGGTCTTCTTATTTTCGTTATTATCAGTATTGTAGCACCACCATTACATGGTGAAGTGTTACAGTGAGAGCAACTCTCAGATTGAATGCTACCACAAATACATTTATGAGGGCACAGAGGGATTTTTGTTTTGTTTTGTTTTAAACATCAGTTGTTTAATTGTATTGTCATCATAAGAGCTCCAGCTTAGGCTTCTGAGAGTATCACACATTGAAGATATACTAAAGCAACAACAAAAATCAAAAGAAACATGAGTTTGATCCCCCCTCACCTCCCTCCCAAAAGGAAGGAATGAAAGAAAGCCTGGTGTGTGGTGGATGATTTTAATTCCAGCACTTGGGAGGTAGATACAAACAGAACTCTGTGAGTTGAGTTTTACATGGTGAGTTCCAGGCCAGCTAAGGCTACAGAGTGAAACCTTGTCTTTAAAACAAAACATTCAAAATGCATAGAATTCTGCTAATCTAATCTTGGTCAAGCCACAAATTTCTCCCTAATTCTTAAACCTGGTTATAGTTCTGTAGTTCTGGGTTATTGGGGTGTGTTTGGGGGCATCCTGCTCATTAGAGGGGCAGTGTCTCTACAATGTTTTAACAGTCTACACATCACACTTTTGAGACAGGATGGAACATATCTATTAATGCTAATGGTTTAGCAGAAACTGGAACTGCCCCGTTTGTTTTAGGTTTGAGTAGAGCCTTTCAGATGTTAACTAGGCTCCCCTGATGAGTATTCTCCCAGTTTGTATACTTCTTGCCACCCTTGGGGGCTAGATTAAAAGTAATTCACTCTTTAACCTTCTTGCATAAATTGAAGTATTTTGAAGCAAATGACAGACAATATGTTTTCTGATTTATCCCTTACATCGTATTTTGAAGCAAATGACAGACAATATGTTTTCTGATTTATCCCTTACAACAAGCCTATGAAGCACATTTTACTCTTACACTAATATGTTAGGGAGAAGCAGGGAGGCTTGGAACATAGGCAAGGTCTTCCTTCTAGCTAGTAAATGTCAAGCCATGACTCATCCCAAGCCTGCCTGACTGCAAAACCCGTGATGGTAATTACTCTGAAGTGGTGATTGCAGCTGTAATTTGTTCTGGTTCTCCAAATGCTGTCTTGTTTGGCAGTTTATGGAAAGGTCAATGTTATTGTTCTCATTTTGGCTCCTCCAGGCTTCGGAGAGATGGGTCGCTAGACAGTAAAGAGACCATACGTTAGAGTTTCATGTCCTTTTGAAGCAAGATGGTCAAGGACTTGAAGAGGACAATAAAATTGAAGTCTGTACAGCCTATCAGCCTATGAAAAAGCTACACATAGATAGATGTGTGGTTTATCTGTGAATGATACTGTACATCCACTTAGGACAGTATAGTTTCTGTGCTCACTAAGAACTCAGTCAGTCCAGGCAGTGACATGCATGTCACAGATGTGTAGTCTAACTGGAGATGTAAACATGACGTGTACTTTTTGGAAGCATTGCTGCATACATTGCGTTTATGGAGCTCAGGGCAGCTCACCAAGTCCAGAGTTTAATTCATAGCAAATAAAAGGAAAAATAAAAGGTGGGATGGGAAAGAGATTGTCAGGTAATAGCAATGGGGCTGGAGAGTTAGGTGTGAGGACCCGAGTTCAAATCTCCAACCTAACCCCCAAAAAAAGCCATGCATGGTGGCCCATGTGTCTGTAAGTCCAGCGCTGGGAGGCCAAGACTGTAGGAGTCCTGAAGTTCACTGGCCCACCAGCCTAGCAGAATCCCTGAGTTTAGTGACAGAGCTTCCTCTATAGAGGAAGACCGCTGGCTTGACTTCTTGCATTCATACGATTTCACATGTGTGTGTGCACACATACACTAGTCACAAATGTGGCATGCCTTTGGTCAGTGCTGAAATCTGCTTTACCTGCAAACGTGCTTTTGTTCTTTACAGAATGCCGTGTTCTGAAGTCATCTTATTCCCGAGTCTCAGCTGCTAAGTATTCTGGATCCAAAAGCCCAGGACCCTCTCGCCGCAGCAAGTCACCAGCTTCAGGTATAACAGAAAAGTAATGGATGGTCTTAGAAGGGGGTGTTCTCTTTAGTTTCCTCACATTTTTGTGTACTTAACAGCTTTTACCAGCTTGTGTACAGCCATGTTCTAGAACAATGAAAGACGGTGAAAATTTTAAAACAAAAGCATTAGATCTGTCTTCCAAAATCCAAAGGTATGAGAATTCCAAGGAACACTGGAAGGAAAGTGGTTCTGGCACATTCTCTTGCAGATAGCCTCACTGTCTAATCTTCCTCTGGTATGCACATCAACGTATTTCACGTTTTGGGCACTGTATACTGTATTTTGAATTCTATGCCTCATAATTGTGGGTATTTATCTTCCTAGAATTACTTCTTCCTGGAACAAAACACATACAGTTCTGCACAGAAATATATTTACTTGAAAATGTCCATAGTCTTTTCCTTCATCAGTTATTAATAGTACTAATGATTATTCTCTGAAGGAATTATTTAGTCCTGTAATTTTCAGACCTGCATCCTACTATTTTGTCAAAATTTATACTGCTTTGATATTTTTAACATTAAAAACCCTCAAATCATATCTCAATAAGTTGATTTTATGAATTGATAGTAATTAAATATATTTTTGCTCATTTGGTTTATTGTTAATGAAGTGATTTCAGAGAAAAAAACATTTGATTTTACAGCAGTATTCTTATTACTGCTTGGCCTGCTACCCCTTGGAGTGAACTGAACTTTTTTTCCTTGAAACAAAATGATTTGACTGGTGAGGCATCTGATAGTGCAGAGTGGTCCCAAACTGTTTTAAACATCAGACTTGGTCAGGCATTCTCTCTGCTGCTCCCACTGCAGCCCCCGCCTCACTTCCTCTAGGGCAGGCTGTGTTACTGTCGTGTAGACCTGCTGAATAACCACTGTCCTTACTGTCTTCTCCTGCTCTGTGCATATGCGTGTGTACAGTAAAGAGGGCTGGCCACTCCAGTGCCTATTCTACAGCCAAATCCCCAGGTGAGCCAGGATCCTTACAGCTTTGTCACTCCGCTGGGTTTTTGTTTCTGTCTTTTGCTGCATTTCTGTTTCCTTTGCTTCATTTCCATGAATGTATCTGGCCTTCCCCTGTGGACATCTGTGCTGTTTGCAATGTTTTCCAATGCACAGGCCACTTCAGCCTCCCTACTTCACTACAGAACCACTCGACCTGAGAAGATTGCTAAGTACCTGTCTGTAGTTGAAGCACAGTAGTCCAGGGGGAGGCAGCCACCTACCTCCAGGACAGCTGTGTTCCAGTGAGCTATAGAAAATGCTCTGTCACTGAAAAGCTAAAGTTTGTTAGCCGAGCTGGGTGGTAGTGGCGCACGCCTTTGATCCCAGCAGAGGGAGGCAGAGGCAGGGGGGTCTCTGTGAGTTCAAGGCCAGCCCGGTCTACAGAGTGAGTTTCAGGACAGCCAGGGCTGTTACACAGAGAAACTTTGTCTCAAAAACCAAAACAAAAGTGTGTTAGCAATATAAAGATATGGAAGGAATTTCTAACCTCACACTTTGCCCATACCTGTATTAAAAGTTTAGGAATCATTAAAACCTAATTCAAAATACTTCATGATGGCCGTGCCCACCTAGGATAAGGAGGTGTTTTCTGCACATAAAAGAAGGCAGCCAACACTGCATCTTTTAGTTGGGAAGCAATTATTTTCATACAATGCTCTACGTTCAGGCTTTCTAAATATTTGACAGTTGATACTGCGTTTTTTAACCAAAGGTGTCTCTCTGCCATTGACCTTATTTTAGATTGTCATAAAACTGGAAACGCTAATGGAATGTAAATGTGTTTGGATACAGTTTTCTGGCTGAGTGATTCCTAGCCTTTGTTTCAGGTGACAGGTTTATAGATGCTTGTCATGTCAGGAGAATGATTAAATAAAAGTGGCCCAAGAGTCAGGTATGATTAATTCAGCATTGTCCCCTGAGGTCTAAAGGAGGAAACTTACTGAACTAATAATACTTCATGACTACATTTGTCTTCAGACAATCTACTGTTCTATGACAAAGCCCAGTGAATACTTAAATGATGGCATTTTTTAAAATCTGAATTTTCAATGCTTAATAATTGTTTGAGGACTAGCATTTCAGTATGCAGAATCTTCAGCTGACTCCATATTTGGATAGTGCTAGCCTCAGACTCCTCAGTGGAAGTTGTGAGACTTGAAAGCCACATCTCGGAAGGCAATGAGTGGAGGCCACTGGGAGGAATCATGCTAGCACTTTAGAAAGCTAAAAGCCTCTGCCTTTGCTGACACTCCACAGAGACTCTAAAGCATGCTGCTCTGTTACCAATAGTCTTTTCTCCTCATTCTCTGACAACAAGGGGCAGAGAGTATTGTGTCACAAGCCACAGTACCAGAAGCAGAAGCACTTGCTTGTACAGAGGCTTTGCCGTGCTGTTCAGGAGTCCAGCTGTTCAGGAGGCCAAGGCAGATTTGATGTGAACCTGGGCAATGCAACAGCCCTGTCTTTAAATAGCAGCAGCAGCAGCACTAATTAATAACAACAAAGACTTGAGGGATTAGCTGGAATTTCAGTTAGTAACTTTATAGACATAATAATTGTTCATGTCAATATTAGGATAGAAAGTGCTGCTTTGAGAGAAGTTTCTGAATCTAGTCTTCCAACAAAACTCAATGTAAATAGCTAAATAGTATGCTGAAATTCACAGATAGTAAAGTAGATAACCTTCAGTCAATCTAACTCTAATCTGAGTCTGATAAATACTGCTTTTAGGGACTGGGGAGGTGGCTGAGTGGTTAAGAGGCTTGAGGACCAGCTGTGAGGTCCTAGCACTGACATCACAGCCAGGTGCCCTATGGGCGCCTGTGTTCCCAGTTCTGATGTGGGGTGGGGCCACTGGGGATTGCTGGCTTCCAACAGCAAAGAAAACACAAACACCGGTACGGAAAGAGACCCCACCTTGAAGGAATAGGCAGAGAGTGATGGATAAGGACACCTGATGCCCTCTTCTGGCCCTCTGTTACACATACTTGTGGCCGTACAGTCAACAACACACCCACACACACACACACACACACACACACACACACACACACACACACACACACACACACACACACACACACGAAAAATGTAGATAACCAACTGATTTAGAATTAGGAAAATTAAAAATTTGGGAAATTAAAAAATATTGAAAAGATGACTATCTACCAATTGTAAAAATACAATATGATAGGCAAAATGGCTTCATAAACACAGCCATCCCTCCTCACAGATGATTGGCTGATTGTGTATGCTCCTCAGTCCACGATCTCTGCCTCCATTCAGCAACTAGCACTCCCTTTTGAGTCTCCTGTGCAGGATGTCTGCCTTCAAATTTGACTTTCTGCACTAAATTTGGGTGATCTAAAATAATGCTGTCTGCCTCCTATGTTTATATAAAAAAAAAAGTGGACTTCATTCTGCTTTTTGTAAAAGATGAACGGCAGCTTTCATCTGCTTTGGGCAGAGGCTTTTGAGGCTGACTTCTGAAGTAAGAGGGATTACAAGTGCTTTTAAGAGGAGAACAAACAACTAATCCCAGGTATTAAGCACCAGCTTCATGAGATCACTGCAGATTGAGATCTAGATGATGGGATTTGGAGTGTACATGAAGGGTACTGAGATGGTTGCCCAGCACTCTGCAGGCTAGAATCTGTGATTGACCCCCCCCCTACAAATAGGATTAGCCATCGTCTGCTCAGCATAGACTCCAATTCAAGCTTTCTACCAAAGAAGCATATGGAGGTGTAAAAGGTGGTATATAGAAAACTAACAGCATTTGCTAAAGAATGAGGAAGTTAAACTGTGAAGAAAATGAAAGGATTAGAAATAACTAGCCTGTATTAAGAAGTATTTAATGATTTGTCTTTTAATGGCTTTCAATCAAATAATATTATAAGAAGAAATAGTTGCTTTCACTTTCCATTAAGAATATAACCAAAGAGCAGGGCAGTGGTGGTGCATATCTTTAATCCCAGCACTCCGGAGGCAGAGGCAGGTGGATCTCTGAGTTCAAAGCCAGCCTGGTTTACAGAGCAAGTGCCAGGACAGTCTCCAAAGCTACCCAGAAAACATACTTAAGTTTAGGGTTGTAGTTCAGTGGTAGAGCATGTGCTTGGCATATGTGAAAAGCTTAGCTTAGCTATTAACACGAAAAGCAGAATGGGAGTAAGGCGGGCACACATGCATGCATGCACGCAGCCCCCCCCCATTTGCACTTGTGTATCTGTATTGTAGTATAGTTGATTTGAAAGAACCATACACATTTTTCAGTGACTCACATTAGTATATGCCAAGATAAAGATGGACAGTGGCAGTTTGTAATGGCCTTCATTACAGACCATCACAACACAGTAGCTAGTCATTTGTCTTTGTTTTCTGGAAGGCAGGTTGTGTGGACAGGGTCTCTTGCTCACACCTGTAATTCCATGATTGTCTTCTATATTTGTTTATATCATTGTTGGGACACTATTATTGCAAATAATACTAATTTCACTCCTTGTCTGACTTTGTCTGTAATGCAGTAAGATACATTGCTTTTGCTTTTTGCTGATTTGTCACCTGCTTTGGGCTTTAAATGAAGCAAAGCTTCATGGGAGCCATTTTATGCATGTGCTTAGTGTTTTCACAATCTGGTTGTTTGGAGTTTTGATGACTGTCTCCTTTGTTGTTTCCTGGTCAGTTAATGGAACTCCCAGCAGCCAGCTTTCCACTCCTAAGTCCACGAAGTCCTCCAGTTCCTCTCCAACCAGCCCAGGAAGTTTCAGAGGACTGAAGGTATGAAGGAATAGAAGTGGTATGTTTATGTGAGTGTATTATTTGTGTATTTAACAGTTAGGTTTCTTTGTGAACTTGAAAAGCCTAAGCTGGATCCTGACATCATTAGCGGGCCTCCTTAACTCCTCCCACATGTGTTCACGTCCTGTTAAGCATACAAGGTTGTGATAGGTTGAACAAAATGTGGTGAACATGAGTATTATTCTAATTATTGTAGATGATTTGCAACAGCAAAGCATTGGAAAACACTGTAATTCATTTTTAAAAGACTCTTTGGAGACATGATTTTAATGACTAGTGTAATTTGACTTTATTGAAGTCTACAACTTGGGAGAAATACCAATATAACATTTATACCTTCAAGAAGACAGCACAAGAGAACATGTACATTTGCTCAGGAACTTAGAAATAAATAGGCATTAACTGTGGTGTTAAAAAATACAAAGAAACCGGGGGTGGGGTGGGGGTGTAGTGACTCATGCCCAGCACTTGGGAGGCAGAGGCAGGCAGATCTCTGTGAGTTTGAAGTCATCCTGGTCTATAGAGTGAGTTCCAGGACAGCTAAGGCAACACAGCAAAACCCTGACTTGGAAAACCGGGGAGTCGGGGGTGGGGGGGAAGCAAAAAGAAATGCACAAACCTGAAATTTGCACATGACCTGAGTTTGATCACTGGAACTCCCATAGCAGAAGACAACTGATTCCTCCATGATGTCTTCTGACTTATGCATGTAAACATACGCACCGTAATGCATGTGTATGCACTTGAGCACATTCTCGCACCCCCCAGCACCCATTAAAAAGATGCAATTGAAATTATCTTAGGGGCTTGAGAGATGGCTCAGCAGTTTAGAGAACTTGCTGCTCTTACAGAGGACCCAGATTTGGTTCCCAGCACCCACCTGGCAGCTCAAAACTGTAACTCCAGTTCCATGAGATAAGACACCCTCTTTCTGGATTCTCTTGACAGTTGGCACACACACAGGAAACATTCATATACATTAAAAAAAACTAACAAATCTTTACATTAATTTAAATTTAATGACATTTTTCTGAAGTATTAAATTGGCCAAGGCCAGTTTATACTGTGATTGAATTCTCAATTGTCAGTTTGTCAAAAAAAAAAAAAACTTATATGAAATAAAACCACAAATCAGCTGAATGTTTTTGGATACAAAGCTGCATAGCATCTGTATAGAGTATACTCACGTGCAGGCACAGAAGATCCTGCAGAGGAAGCAAAATAATCTTGAGATTGTGAATAATTTCTGCTGAGTGTGGAGTCTAACTTAATAGAATGGTGGCTACTGAATTGAAAATTTTCAGACCCCCAAACTGAAAAGTGTCAGGACAATGGCAAGTGTTTTGTGTTAGCCAGCCTCCTATTATTGTAACAAAGCCCTTAAGATGACCAGTTAGAGAGAAAATGTTCATTTTAGTTCACTACTCTTGAGATTTCAGTCACCCAGTTATGGTCACCCAGCCCCATTGCTTTTGGGTCTGTGGTTGCCTAGTACATCATGCCTACTTCATGACCAGGAAGTAAATAGAAGACAAGGGATATCGTTACAGTGATAGTTACCTAGGGAGGAGGCATTTCCAGGAGAGAGACCAAATCCACAATTTTCCAGTTAAAGCAAGCTTTATTTAGTACTGGCTAGGAAGATGGGGACACTGGCCAAGTCCATACTGGAGATTCCCAGGATCCCATACTGGTGCTGAATTAGGTTACCAGGTGCTTATTGTTGATATCTGGGTCCTGGGCAACCTGGCCCTGTACCTGTGCCTGACGCCTCTCCTTCTCCCTTCCTGTGGTTTCTCCTCAGCACCCTCCTGTCACTCCACACCAGCCCTCTCCTGGACCTGGACCTTCTCCTTAGGGAACCTTTCTTGGTCATGGGGGCCTCTCTAATCCTTGGGCTCTCTCCCTGCCCAGGGATGGCTCTTGTCTGGGCTACCTTCCCTTGCCTCAGGATCCATCTTTGACAGGTGATCCCTCCTCACTGACAGCTGTCAAAGGCTGTCAAAGGTTGCTTGGCTGCACTGTGCATGCGTTAGGTGGCTGCATAAACATACATGCAGAAACCATGTAGAACTGGGGCCTGCATGGAGCTGGGCCAGCGGCTCCTCCATAACTCCAGTTTCAACGGCCCCAACTGCTGAGACTGGTTCTAAACCGTTCCCGTTCTTATGTAAGCAAGCGCCTTCTGCCTGTTCTCTCTCTCCTTTCCATTTTTGCTCCCCTCCCTTTGCTCCCTTTCCAGTGAACTCCATGTGGGTTTGTTGAGTTTGGTGGATTGTGTTTCATTTCCCAAAGCTGCAGCAAAGAACAACTCTCATAAAGTTGTTCAAAAAACTCAAAAAACCCACAGGCTACAGTCCTTCCTACCTTCTTCCAATTTGGAGCAAGCATATGTCCTGACCTACTTCCTGCCTATGTACTGTTATAAGAGATTCTTGGCCCAGTAGGTCCCATGGCTCTTGAGCCCCAAATAAACACACAGACAGTATATTAGTTATATAGCTGTTGACCGATGACTAGGGCTTCTTATTAGCTAGCTCTGTCTTAATTACTAACCCATTTCTAGTAATCTAAGTATTTCCACATGGTCTTATCTTACCAGAGAAGGGTCCAGACCTCTGTTACTCCTTTCTCCACTACATGGCCACTTTTTCTGCCTTCATTTCCCACAATCCTCCTCATCTAGTCCCATCTGTCTTCCTGCCTCATTGGCCAAACAGTATTTTATTCATCAACCAATAAGAGAAACATATACAGAAAGCATTCCTCCATCAATGTACCTCCCGCCTATGTGTGATCAAGTACATCCTGTGCAGTTGGGGCAATCAACCTTGTTCACAGCAGTGAAAACAGGGGGCTTAACAACAGTCTCCAGCACTCCAGGAATTTATCTGTCCTTGGGCAAGCGGGTTTACAGGTCAACTTTAGCCCTTACACAGTTCAGACAGAACCTCTTTCACAGCAGGCTTCTGGCTGCCTCCCACAGTCTTGGTACCAAGAAGACTTTGCAGTGAGACCAGTTTATGAAGGTTTACAAGTGTACTTGGCCTCCTTGTTTTTTCTTTCATCCTTCTTTAGTTGTTAAAGAACTCTGCTGATGTTCCAACCAATCCCAGTTAAGCCTTGGCAACTAAGACCAAAGTCTGTAGTTCAGATGGTTGAGGTAGAATTGGAGAACTCTTGTGTGCAGCCTCACGGATAACCTCAGGCACTGTGAAACCCAAGTCCCACTTGCGTAGAGGCAGACACAAGGTGTTGTGGTTAGAAGCAGAGCCTCCAGTCAGTGGCTGGGCTTGGTGTTGGTGTGACCTCTCATTGGCTGTGTGACCTTGGACAAGTTATGTTGCCCCTTTCTATAAAAAGAGGGTTCAGAAGATGGACTGAAAGCAGAGATGTACTTAACACAGAGAAACCACTCAGGACAGCTTCTATTATTTTTACTGTAACTGTGGGGTCTCTAGGTTTAGATTTACATGAGGGAATTCCACACAAAACACCAAGTGTACAATAGTGTGTAAGAAGGAAGGTAAACACAAGAGAAGTCAGACTGAGTTTTTCTCTTATATTCCTATGTTTTATGTATTTAAAAATATTCTGACCAAGAGCTTCGAGCCCCAAGAAAGGAGAAATATTCAGCTCTTACGAATCCTAAGTAACATTCATGGAGCCCAGGAAGCTGTGGGTCACATCACCTGAGGGATAGATAGTCTTGTCGAAAATACAGATTCCACAGGCCGTGCTCTCTGGGATGGAGTTCCGGGTTCTAAGGTCTGTAGCTGAGAGAAGGGAAGTTCAGGGAGGGCAGGGAGCCTTGCACTCACTGCTTCCTCCTGTCCGTTACTGACTTCCCTTCTCTTCTTTTGCTTTCCTGTCTGTTTCACATAACCCAACACTTAACAGCCAAACACACTTATTTCATCACATGTTCTTAGGAGTTGTGTTTCAGGAGCGGGTAAGTTGGCTGGCTGTGGGCAGGCTCTTTTATTACTAGCTGGCAGGATGCACATCAGAGTCACCTGAGACTTGATGGGAATGGGGTACCCACCTATCAGGTGACTTCTTCATTTGCTGACAGTTGGGTTGGAGGCAAGAGAATAGGAAACAAGGAGGAGGTTCCATAGATTAACATATGAAAGGTAAAAGGCAGCGGTGAGAAGACTGGCAGCTTTAGTCTACCGAACTTCTTCAGGCCAAGAGAGCAGGCTCACTATGCTAATGACCCATAAATGGTCACTGCAGACCTCGATGACCTCAGCCCGCTTTTCTCCTTTGCCCTTGGAGTGCCAGGCCACAGAGAGAATATGGCACACCTCCAGGCTCCTCTGTGTCTCCTCTGCTGTAATCGACTGTGTGACTGTGCATACTTCAGTGTACAGAGCACCAGACACTGACCTCCTGACTCAGACCCTCTTGGAGGTCCTGAGGCCCTGGTTCCTGCCCACTGGTTCCTCCCCACTGGAACTTCTCTGTGGTTCTCTGTGGATTGTCTTTGTGTCCTCAAAAGACAGCAGCTGATTTCCCTGGAACCATATGACAGGAGAAGGATGCCACATAGCTCTTGTTTCTGTGACCTAGCTTTGGGAGCCAGACCTTATATTCCAACAGTGTCTTAGGAGTCACCCAGGTCAGCCAGTTCAGCCTGGGAGGAGGCTCCTCAGGTCCTTTCTGGAGTCTGGCTGCCCGAGCAGCAATTTCCCATTTTCCTTTCTGCCAGCCACCCCGTACTTTTCCACTCTGATCTCCCCAAACTTCCTGTCCATGTTCCTGCTTGAGGATCACAGTGTCTCTCCTCATCAGTTTCACGGCTCGTTTTCTTTCCCAACCTTTGCTAACCATCCCGTTCTCTGCCAATCTTTTTTCTTCAGGTCTTGGAATCTGCCACTGACATTGTTTGTTTCTCTTAATTCCCCACTTTCCTGTTTTTGTCCTTGACCTCTCGGACTGTGGTCACTTTTCTTTGGTAGGGCACCTTGGAGTCC